ATATATAAGTATCTGGAAGGGGAAAGGGAGAGGAATGGGCAGATGGGAGGGGAGGGGAGGAGGAAAAGAGAAAAGAGAAGAGAGAAGAGAGAAGAGAGAAGAGAGAAGAGAGAAGAGAGAAGAGAGAAGAGAGAAGAGAGAGAGAGAGAGAGAGAGAGAGAGAGAGAGAGAGAGAGAGAGAGAGAGAGAGAGAGAGAGAGAGAGAGAGAGAGAGAGAGAGAAGAGAGAGAGAGAGAGAGAGAGAGAGAGAAGGAGAGAGGGAAAGAAAGAGAGAGAGGGTACTTAGGAGAGAGAGAGAAAAGCAAATGATTCGTTAGCTGGGCAGATCCTTTACAACAAACAAACAGAATGACACGGGGACGGACAGACAGACAGACAGACAGACAGACAGACAGACAGACTCAGACGAGAAAAGAAGAGCTAAAATATGAATGAAAAAAGTCAAAACCAGAAAAAAGAAAAGAAAAATGAGAGAAAAACAAAAGACTCAGAATAAGAGAGAAGAAAGAGAGAGTCCACACAGCATTAACAACAGACAGAAGCAAAGACAAACACCTCATGAACCGGCCACTCACAACTGCCACATGTCCTGCACGTTCGTCGCCTCATGACCTAGTCGCCTCAGACGCCAATTACGAGACGCACCCAAAGTCTCCTCAAAAAAAAAAAAAAAGAAAAAAAAAAGAGAGAAAGAAAGAAAGAAAAAAAAACGCACCCAAAGTCTCCTTCTCAAAAAAAAAAAAAAAAAAAAAAAAAAAAGTCACATCTCAGAACGTTCCTTTCGGCCCATCTATCTATCTATCTATCTATCTATCTTCGTCTGACCATCCGCGTTTATCCACCCAGCCCCTTATTCCGACCTCTCCCCCCTCCCCTCCCCCCTACCCCCTAGCCCTCCCTCCTACCCCCCCCCCACCCCCCCCCACCCCTCGGAACATGCGGCCAACATGTGGTCTCCCAACAATGGCTACGGCGGAATCGAAAAAAAAAAGAAAAAAAAGAAAAAAAAATTCTCGACTCTCCAAAACGAGTCACACACGCGACGCGAAGCCTGAAAGAAAAGTCAGATTTGAAGACACATGGACAGTCACAACACAAAAATGATTTAGATTTTCTGGTGGATGCGCGATATATATATATATATATATATATATATATATATATATATATATATATATATATATATATATATATATATATACATATATATGTACATGTTACGAGTTCAATAGGATCAGGGGCAAGGACTGACGGAAAGGATTAAGGAAACGGATTTACATTTCTGCTTTAAGAACTTAAAAGGAATCGGATAAAAAAGTGATATTTTTAAAATGTGGAAAGTGATGCTTAATTGGTTAATTGCCATGGATTCTTTTTTTTTTTTTTTTTTTTTTTACATTGGAAAAGGATGCGATGACACGACAAATCACACCTGGGGGAGGAGGGGGAGGGGTGGGGGGCGTTAATGACCAGTGGCCAGACAGATTATTACATACAAATAGATAGTGAATCTGGGGGAAAGTGACGAGCATGAACTGACATTGAAATCACGTGACTCTGGCACTGGAAACTATTATGACAAGCCCTTTCGTGACAGAAAACTATCATGACAAGCTAAAGGACCCCAGAGGCCGGCCTGAGGCGCGGCGCCCTGGGAGGGAGGGGCCGGCCGAGGGCCTGCCGGAGCACCATCACCTTTGGCTGACTGCGCCGAGCGACGTCGTCTTCTTCTGGCCGAGTCCTCGGAGGTGGCGCCCGAGGACACGTCGGAGAGGTCCTCGGAGTCCTCGTGGCGCGAGGGCGCGGCGGGGAGCACGCCCCCCGCGGTCGACCCGTAGCCCGAGGACGCCGAGGACACCAGGCCCGTGTAGGACCCCCCCAGCCTGCTCCCTGCGAGGCCGGGGTAGGAGCCGGCGGCGCCTCCTGCCGCTCCTGCGCTCAGTCGGGACGCCGAGCCGCCCAGCCCGCTGCTCGAGGCGTGGAGGCGGGGCATGGACGACGTGGGCGTGGCGGCTGCTGCCGGCTGATAGGCGTGGGCGGGGCTACGCGTGCCACTCCCCCCACAGACAGCGTCACCTGTGCGAGTGGGCGTGGCGTAGTAACATGGTCTCATAAACAGTAAAGAGAAAGGCGTCGCTCCTGCGCCTGGCACTTAACATTACGTGGCCCTAACCTCAAGGACTCTCCGGAGGCGCAGCCGTGTCTGAGGGCGTCCACTTCGCCCTGGCTGCGCCCGCGAGACGCGCCCGTCTGCTGCCACCTCCTACCTACGCTACACTGCTAAAACTGACATGAACCTGATCCTGACATGACAGTCACTACTCAGGAGATGGCACAACTAACACTTCCCGCTACAGAAGTCCACCTCACACTGTGACACATGGCCTCCTGTTTATCCCAGGCGGCGGCGGAAGTCGTGGTAACTCACACCGCGCAGTCTGTGATAAAGTAAACTAAGAAACTACCCTGACTTGAGAGTGCACTTACTCCACCCTAGAACCCTACGCGATACAGGACTCTCCAGAACTCTGACGCTACATAAATCTCTGACTACTGAATATCGTAAACATGTAGATTAAAGATCCTAACGAGCACTGAGCAACACTGAAAAGGGACCGCTAAATAACTGTCCTTAACTACGGTACTCCAAGGCTAATGGTCCAGGTGACGTCACTGAAACACTTGAGCTGGGCATGTGAGCGCCAGACAGCGGAACTCGGAATCATCTGGGCAGTGACATAACACACAGGATATTATGCACAACATGGCAAGCACTGAAGCAGGCATGGGGAGGGACAATGCGCAACCAGCAGGGAAGGGGGGGAG